TTTTGAGGGTGGGGAGGGGCTGGGATGGAATTCCCAGAGCAGCTGTGGCCGCTCACCCCTGGAAACATCCACGRCCGAGTGGGAGCAACCAGACCCAGCCAGGCCCATGGCAGGGGGTGGGAATTCCCCAATTCCCAAATTCCCTAATTCCCAAATTCCTGTGCCCTGACCCTCTGTGTGTCCCCCCAGAGCCAGCTGAGCTACCCCCCGCCCTACGGCCAGTGGGGACAGTGGTACGGTGGCGCCCAGCTGGGCCAGTACGTGCCCAAYGGCTGGCAAGTGCCCACCTACGGTGTCTACGGCCAGGCCTGGAACCAGCAGGGCTTCGGGTAAGTCCAGAACCCCCTTTTTAACCCATTCTTTACCCTTTTAYCCCAAATTTTTACCCCCTGGGGAAGCCACGTTGTCACCTCAAAACCACAGCGGGGCCATCCCTGTGACACTGGGGTGGGTGACAAACACCCCGATCCCCCCCAAACCCCTTCCTGCCACGCTGCAGAGATCCCAAAAAGGTAATTTAGGAATTCCTAAAGGATTTTTTTTTTCCCCCAAACAGGCAGAGCCAATCATCAGCGCCGTGGATGGGCCCCGGCTACGGCGTGCAGGCGGCGCAGGGGCAGAACGGCGCCGTGGTGCCCCCCCAGCCCGGCTTCCGCGTGGGCTTCGAGACCCCCTGAGCCCCCCACACCCCAAAACCTCGGCTATTTATTACCACAGCCACCAGCTGGGAGGGGCCAATCATGGAACCAGCCCTCCCAGCCTCGAAATTTTAACAAAATCCCCTCCTTTTCCCCCCCCACAAAAAATAATCCCCCCAAATGCTGGATCGCCACCGCCGCCTTCTGCCGCCTTCGGTTTGTCCCCTCCTTTTTTTCGGGATGTGTTTCTGAAATCCGGGGGTTTTTGTATTTTTTTGGAAACACGAATTTGCAGGGACTTCGCTGCCTTAGCTGAGAATCGGGGCAGGAATTGCACAAGTCATCCTTGAGGGGGTTTTTTCTTTTTTATTTTTTTGCGATTTTTTTCCGGGGGGGGAGTTTTCCCCTCGGAGAAAACAGAAACAGCTGGAAAAAACCCCAAAAGAAGCCAAAAGTGTGAGAATCCTGGAGCTGCCAYGCCTTCAGCCTCACACCCTCTGTTTTAAAGGAGCCTCTTGGAAAATCCCTCCGGCTTTTTGTTCTGCCGGGGGTGGTTTTAGTTTTCTGGTTTATTTTGTTTTTATTTTTYTGAAGATAAATCCTTCGTTTACATCATTTTTGTGGATCTCAGTGTGTTTTTCAGGGTCGGTTTTGCCTTATGCTGGGGAAAAATAAATAAAAAAGGGACCTGAAAGTGCCCAGCTCCCCRCGTGAGCCAAGATTGCCACCCTGGGACAGCAAAATTCCTGTTGCTAAAACGTGACAAATCCCTCCAGGGGTTTTGGCTTTCTTTTTTTTTTGAATTTTTATTTTTTACTGATTTCTACATTTTTCCTGTACTGATTCTGTAAAATATTAGAGCAAATTGAAGAATTTTTGCACAACCGTTGGCCACTTTTGTACGTTTCCTTATTTAAAGGTAGGACACGGAGTCTTTTGATGTGATTTATGCCTCAAATCTTCCCCTTTTTTTTTTCCCCTTATTTTTTTGTGGATATGAGATATGTCTTGGAATATAAAGTTTTTAATTCATTGTGTAAAAATTCCCTCAGTAGCCCGGGTGTGTTTCACAAGGGAGCAAAGGTGAAAAGAGCTCCCTAACCTGATCTATCAGAGGCCAAAAACGCCCTTTTCTATCCTACCTCTT